GGGGTGCCTTCGCTTTGCCGCCCCGCCTCGGGGTAGGGACGGAGGAAGGCGTCAGCGCAACGCTCGCTGGCCAGCCGAGCGGCCGGTACTCGGAAGGACTCGCAGGAGCGCCGGAGGCAGCAGCTCCACCGAAGGCAGGCGAGCGCTTCTGCGGCCGTTCCGGGCGGACTCTCTTGCCCAGTCTCTTCATGCTCCTGTCCTCCCGCCACTTGCCCATCCTCAGTAGCACGTTGGAAAACACCAGCTGCTGCCATCTCCTAAAACCGTGCAGCTCCACTCCTCCAAGGCAAACCAGGGACTAGACAGAGGGAGGAAGAAAGACTGGGAGGAAGAAAGCGGTGCTAGGAACAGCCTCTGCAGCTAGCAACTAGCCCCTACAAACTTACTGGGAATTCAGTGTAGATGTTCCTGTAATCGATGCTTTTGGAGATCAGCTGGGCTGAAACAGTAAAAGCACAGCATGATCACTGCACTTTCCAAAAAGGCGGACAGAAGAACCTGCCACTTCCTCCACATCCCTGCCAATTCCTGCATCCTGCTTTCCTCAACCAACTGGTGAAGGATGCTAGAAAAATAAGAGGAAGCCCTGGAGCAGGTCTGTCCAGCACAGCGCAGCTGTGCAGAGGTAGCGCAGCTGATCTGAGCCCGCAGAGGTGGGCTGGGGATGCCCCAGGAATACCTGCCGGTGTCCGCCAGCCACAGCCAACGCATCCAGAAAGCTCTCCTTCCGCTCAACTGCGGTCCGGCCTCCAAACTGTGTGGTCTGCAGGGGCCAAAGCTCCTGCCAGAAATCAGATAACCACATAAGACAAACAACTGTATCACTGGAACTTGTTTTCTCTCTAATCTCACAAAGCTTCCCTGCTGTTTTTCCCCTGGCTGGCTGCTCAGAGATGAGAAATAGCCTTAACTGCTTGCCACTGCAGGTGCCATGCTTGGCCACGGTTATTTGTAATTCTTTATTGCCAGGTTCCTCCATAAAGCCCAGAACAACACAAACAAGTGGAAGTCAAGCACAGATTTTATTTTTCCCCACGGCTGCTGCTATTAATACGGCTAATCAAAAGGAAACGGGAGACCTATCTGAAGCTATTCAATCACCCAAGACAAATACTCAGATCCCCTAGCCCAGATCATTAGAGAAACTGGGAAATGGTACTTAAACAGTATTAGGTGAAGGAAAACAGTGAAGGAAACATTTTATAGTTAACTCCGTGTGAAAGAACACCCAAGGCAGATGGCAAGGGGAATGCAACCGGGTGTCCCATATCGATACACACTTTACCCCTAATTCCCTGGATAGCAAACAAAATACCTCAAAAACCATATTTGATTACTGTAGTAGACTAGATAATTGTCATCTGCTGTGACAATTATAGTGGCAGATGTCCCATCATCTCACTGGAACAACTGCTTCACTGAGTCATATGACAGAAGCTGTGCAGTTTAGTGACAAGAAAAAGGGAATGCCAATCATGAGATTTAGGTCATTTTCCCAGTGCCGCCGTTGCTTCCTGGGTGAACTCAGCCTCTGCGCCCCACCTCTGCGTCCGTCACAGTACCGCGCTGCAGGGCATTTTACAGCCAGGAGCACAGATCCCCTTCATAAAACCCCAGAGACTCTCACATGAAAAGCATCCTGTATTTTGTACTGGCACAACTGCAGTTTCATCTGTTCCAGCATATGCTGAGAAGAGGCTTGGTACGGTATTAGCCCGTTTAAAATTGGTTTTAAATGCCGTTGTGTGAAGTCCCTGCTGAAAAGACAGATAAAGAGACAATTTTCTGCCTACAGTTGCCTTCCAGGAGGCATGTTTGACATGATCCCTGCAAGTGAAAAAAGAAAGGAGAAGGCAAAGAATGCAGCAGCTCTCTAGAAGATAGGAAAGCATTTTGCATTGTTATTTGCACCTTCTTCCTTTCAATCCTCTTCCCACAAGACCTTGCTTATCACAAAATAATCCCTGAAAGAAGCTTATTTGCTTCCTGGACTTTCTAGAGAAGCTCTGAGCTGGACACCTCACCAAGATTTCCTATTGACTTGGCTCACTGACTGGCATGGAGGCCCTCCCCTGCACGTCTTGCATACGCTCCATTAGCGGCGCACACAAAACCACAAAATTCAAGTCTGCAGATATGCAGAACCTCCAACTCTTTTGTGATTCGTCCTTTCACAATCAGATGCCACTCGAGAGAACCAGCCTCCTCCACATCCCCATCATCCTTCAGGCTAACCACCTTCTGCACTGTAAAACCACCTCTGATATTTCCAGGATCATAAAGCTTCGAATCTGAGACTCTCCTTTACTTGCCATAGTTTAACAAGAACATTCTGTTCCTTCTCCCCTGTAAACAGTTGATCCAAACTCCACTTCCGTTTTACTTGGCTATTCAGACAAGAATTTCTTTCCTAAGATGGTACAAAAATAATAATTGCTGTGCTACTGCAAATTCCTTTATCTTTGTATTATAGTGATATATACAAAGATATATAAAGAATATAAACAGAATATAAATCTTTAAGAATATAAATCTTTTTCATTGCTTGTTTATCCAACTTCTCCAAAATATGACTAGCCACTCCAGATTTATGTTAGGAAATTTGGTGGACCCTAAACTCGCAAACCATAGCAAATTTCAAATACGAAAACGGCAGTTGATGACTGTGGTGCTACCCTAAAAATAAGTGAAGTTACTGGCAAACGCCTGTTTCAATTTCTTTCCACTGTTAATAGACTGTCATAGCAATGATGCCAGCGCTTCATTAAAATGTTTTACAAGGTCATTTATTTTCAGATGACGTGAGGTGAATTGTATACTTTTTCTATCTGATCTTAAAGATAAGCACACACGAAGCTCATAACTGACCAGGGAACAAACATATCCTTCAACGCCCAGCCCAAGCAAATAACTGAAATAAGCCCACAGCGATCTTACGTCTCTTTATGCCACCCTGGGGAGGTACCTCCGGGCACCAGGCAGCACAGTCGCTCGCGACTCCCGCACGAGCGCGCCAGGGCTCTGAACGCCCTTGCGCCAGAGAGCTCCTGCGACCGGCGCACGTGCACGGGTGAATTACTGACAGTGGGACAACAGCTCTTTGACCATCTTTCTTTTGAAGCCATTTCTACAACTCAGGGCAAGCTCTGACATATAAAACGCGTTGTCCGAGGTATAAAACCTGTTGATTCACACCAACCTAGTAAAGAATTTAGGATATTTTCTTTGCTTTAAGTTTCCAAAAATCTATCTTCATGATTCTTGCTCTGCAGACATTTGGCATCAGTACCCGCCTTCCTTGTGACATCACAGCATTCATTTTATCAGCATAAATTGTTGTTTTATCCCAGTCTGCTGTATTTATCCTTTATGACAAGATTAATTTTAACCTTTCAATACACAGGGCCCAAAACTTGCAGTTATCTCTAAGCTGTGCTTTGTCTTTTTTATACAATCCACAAATTACAACTTTCATTTCCTCTGACAATTACTTGATTTTTCTCACCTCTGTATTTTACTTTTACCATCCTTCCTCCATCCCCTGAAAGCTAAAAACGTTGCTTCAACTTTACTGGAGACAAGTCCACATCTCAGGCTCTTCCTTGCATTCTTTCCCCAGTCAGTTTTTACAGAAGACTGTTACATGATGGGCTAGCTATGCCAGCCTTGCTTTATCATAAACATAACCCATGATCTTACAGACTTAAATATGTTAGTCAACTAGAACCAAGTTCTCTTCTCACCTTCTACAGCTGTGTACACTGCCATTGATTTGCTATACTACAATACCTGGTGAGTATGTAGAGTAAAGGGAATACATACTATTGCACTAATTGTAGTTAGTTGTACAGAGAGCAGCAAAAGAGTGAAATATTTCTGGAGGAATTTGTTTCAACTCCGCAATAAAAAGATTCTCAAAGGCAAGAGAGGACCTCTGGTACCTAGCCACATTTTGTGTCTTTGAAAAATTCACTCTAGCTCCTGCGCACACTGTACAAAGGTGGCTTTTCACTGGAAAGAATCACATCAGACTCCCTCCCATTCACAGAAAGATGTACGTTGAACTCCTCGCGATCCTTTTGTGAAAACAGCGCTAAACATATTCGTTACTGGAAGATTTGTAATGGCATAAGAATCTAAGTAGCTTTACTAATGCTCTCCCACACACATGAAACAATAACTAAGTTTGCCCAGAGACCATTGTACAGTAGTCAGCTGGGCTGAAGAACCCATAAGGCTGCCCGCCAGGCAAACCTCTAAGGGAATTAACACCCAATAGACCGTAACAATCCTCCTCCTCTAAAGCAGAAATGCCTTGATTAGGTAGTATCACAAACAAACCCTGCTGTAACACCAGCTCTTGATGCTTGTAGAGGAAAGCTGGTTTCCTGGCTCCCAGGTTTGACTAAGTGAAGAGAGTAATTATTTACATGTTCCTCAGTACGACCTAGATTAATTGGCAAATTAAGAAGCTAGCCTTCTGTATCTTCTGTCCCTCAAATCAGAAATTAGTCCAAGACAGCATACTTTATTTTGTTGCAGTGATGAGCTGAGACAATTATACATTGATTTGGCTTATAAACTTTTACAAAATGTGACTGTTAATTTGGCAAGTTCAAATGATACCCCACACCTACAAACTCTAATGTATGGACGGGTCAGCAGTCACTGGCCTCTGGCTTTAGACCTTTAAAATAAAGCAAAACCATGCGTGGTGTGTCAGTGCAACACTGGTATTGTGAATTAAAAAAAAAAAAACACTGCTATTCAATGACACCCTCTTTATTCAAAAATAGATATCTATGAGACATTTCAGAATATACTGCTGTCACAAATGGCAGCCTATACTTCTAAATTAATTCCTAAAATCAATTCATATACAGATTTAAGCTTTTGTTAAAAAAAGACACACCTTGGGGAAATCTGTTTAACTTTGAGAGAATTTCACCCAGTTCACCAGATGCCCTTTGCCCAAAAAGTAAAGTAAATAAAATTAAAAACGAGACTTCATTTAAATTAAGCAAAATAAAACACACATGTATATTTGGAAAAAAAAAAACATTTCAATAAAAAAAAAAAAAGACATACAGCTTTCTCACAGAAGATCTAACCAAAATAACAGTGTGAGATGTCAACACATTTGTCTACATAATTTTTTTGATGAGAGCGTTTCTCCTATAATGGATACACATTCAATCAATGGTCAAAATAATTACTGGTTAAAACAGCCTCAGGGTACCACCATGAGCTGAAACAGGATAGAAATGGATCTTTTGGTTTGGGTTTGAGTTTTTTTTTGTTTTTTTGTTTTTTTTTTAATTTTTGGCAAAAGCAGAGAGAATGTACAGTGCTTTATCTAAATATTGTTTGGACCATGAAGGGCTGCAGATTCACACCAATTCATGGAAAAAGTACTTCTGCCACTGAAATTTTCCTGTCAACTAAAGGGAAAAAAGCACAGTTCTTGGCTGGGCAGTAAGGGTGCAAGAAGTTTGTTTTTTTTGTTTTTTGTTACTTTTTTTTTTTTTTAAAAAGGGAGGGAACAAAGTGAAGTGTCAGTAAGAAAAGCACATGAGCTTTTTAACAACTTAATGACCAAAAATGCTGTATCATTTAACTGAAAGTTGAATATGCTACTGAATACCCTGTAAAATAAATTAATGAGAATGCAGAACAAGCTTTGCATTTCTGTAGGTTTCCTCTCACGTCTTTGACAACAGCAGCTTAAGACTATGGGGAGGCACAAACATAGCACATCGCTTTGTCTGACTAATTTCAGCCTCTGTGTTACGAAACCTGAATTATCAGATCAAGTGTTACCAGAAACTTAAGATGTTTTTATAGTGAGAGGTGCTAAATTTAAACAGAATCGTTAGCCCAATTGGAATGGTTTTTAATTATTAGAGAGTCCAGCTTGTTAAACCTAACACACAAACCGAAATCTAATTACATCCATGGCAGTTAAAACATTAGCTAGCAGAATCAGGGAATTAGAGAGTATTTTAAATTTGTTTTTTTGACTTTTCCCAATAATAAAATCAACTCACATTAATCTGTGACACAAAATTAAGTACATCCTTCTAATATCTACATGCATGGTCATGGCACATGTACATACAGGATATCTGCATACAATATGCGTCTATTTTCTGTATAAATAAATATTTATACCACGTTTAACTTCTGTCCACCAAATAGCTTCACTAAAGCTAGAGAGAGAATTTATAGAATAATATTTTCAACGTAACTTCCTCAGAGTAAATCAGACGGTACCTGTCACCGGGATATCACCAGTTGCAATCCACCATTCCAACCTCTCAGCTAGTTAAACTGAAGCTTCTGTCACCATCTACTTTTGTATAATGCAGAGGAAAAATGTGGTATAAATCTAAGGTAGCTAGAACAAAATTTACTTCTGTTCTTGTTTAAATAATATCCAGTTCTGCATTGCTCAGCAGAGCGTAAATTATGAAGCTATCTCTAATTCACAAAGAAAAGCTGTTTATTTTTATTGCCTGTGGCGAGTCTCAATTTATGTACATGCCAAATAGGAACTATCTTCACACCAGCCCTAAAACAGTACAAGGAACTGTAGGTTTAAGAAACTATTTCTCTGTACCATCGTTCAACAGATACCTTCTATACCTTCTCCTTACATTGGCATGGTACAGTGCCTGCACACATACACATCCTTAGGAAGCCCACTAGCCTTTACTACTGTTCTCAGATATGAGGTTCAGAAACCCAACTAAAACAGACAAGACTGATTCAGAAATAATATACACTTTTACAGAGAAAAAATATTATATGGTCAACCTTCGTTTGAAAACTTTCCAGGTATATATGTACATGATTCTCATGACTTTTGTGGGGGTAACAAGTGCTAAGAGCAAACAGAAACTAAAGAGTACGGAAAAATGTGAGAAAAGTTTGCCTATGGACTATCCCCACTCCCTTTAGATCTCGCAAAAACTCACTCTTTATCCTCCCCTCAGCGTGAGCCACTGTACACAGAGAGAGGGTGAGCATGAGCAGCCAAGAGGTTGAAAGCAGGGTCTGCAAGTTCCTTCCTACGGTAGATCTTGGAAGACTGGATTTCCAGTCAACATCAGAGTCTTCTTCTGCTGGTAATAATGGAAACTGGGGGACATCATTTGTTCTAGTCTGTTGAAAACAGGTCACCAGCAGACGGCAGAGGTGCCAGACCTCCTGTAACATTGGGCAGCAGCGACAGATCTGGAAGGCTCTGGATGTGGGATTTCAGCTCCTTGCGGACCTGGGTTACCCGAGCAAGCTTCTGTTTATATTCCTGAGGGAAAGA